TTTTTTTTTTTTTTTTTTTTTTTTTTTTGCACTCCACTTTCAGGAGACGGAGGCAGTTGTCTTTAAAACAAGCCGATTTCAAGGATATATTCAAAAAATCAACTTCGGGGTATGTCCAAGGGTCTGCATTTTCCTCTACCTTTTTGCCAGTGAGAATTTATTTGTATGAAAAAGACCCTGAGATACTAGAAGACATTCGGTCATCAAGGCAACGTGGAATAATGTCTAGGTTAATGTGTTTATCAAGCTGAAAAAAAATGATAAATTATCCTGTTACAAAAATACCACACACCATCTATTGTGCTCTGCATTTTCAGATGGGCTTTCCCAAACACAAGTTCAGTTGGTTTTCATAAGATTGCCGTGAATGGGACAAAGGGGCCCCTTGCCTATTTTACAGATCAGGGAGGGTACTATGGCAAGTCACAAAGCTAGTCAGTGGGAGACCACAACCAGACCACAGGTGCCCACGGCCGTGTCCTTCTCCATCCTTCCTGATCAAAAAGGTTTGAAACAAATTTTTCACTTTCACGTGCTATTGGACAGTCTGTGTAATTTAGACTACCTTTGTTTCCTAATTGCTGGGACTTCACAGCCCCCACTCTGCGAATGTCTGTCGGTCTGCCTCTGTGCCTGTCTGTCAGCCAGATGGAGACCTTGCTTTCAGACTCACCCAGACCTGGAAGGATCTCGAGTGCGGGAGGGGCAAGATAATGGCCGTGGACGGTGCAGACTGGCAAGCAGTGGTGAGCAGCCCACGCTGATATGCTGGGGAAGGCCGGCGACCCAGAGGGAAAACAGCCTCGCCGTAGCTGGGGCTATCTCCGGTGGGGGGTGAGCAACCTTGACTCTAAAGCAATGTTTCTTCACGGGCGGTGGACCGGGCAGGAAAATCAACTGGGTCACTTGTATAAAATGCAGAGTGCTAGGCCCCACCTGCAGACTTCTACAGAAAATATTCACCCCAGGTGATTCTTAGGCCATACCAAAGTTTGCGAACACCTGCCTTCAAGGTATAGGACTTTTCCTGTGCTCTGTGTATCGGCGTGTAAAGAAAAGAGCCACCTTTCTTTGGTAGCATCCATGCTTCGTGTCAAAGTCTGTATGTGTCTCCACCCGAGGCATTCTCGCACTAGCCCCTGTGTATTATGTCGGCTGGGAGGTGTTTTTGAAAGATTTGTGTCCATTTTAGACTTGAAGACAGTCAGGAGGCAAAAAGGTTGCTGTCGGAAGGTGAAAAATTAAGATTTGAGATTTGAAGAGTTGGCCCGGTGACTGTGCAGACTGCCTGATTAGATCGTGGCCGGAGAACATGAGTTCTTTTGTATACTTGTAACATCCAGCAAAGTCGTAAGTTCTTAGTACTTACTGGTGATTGAACTAATTCAGCAGGCACCTCTAATTTATAGGCTTTGGGCTCGGCATAGTGAGTTGATTGATTTTGGTATTTGTGAAGTTCAAGGAGTCAATCTTGCACCGTTGGTAATGGCTAATAGAGGAAGGAGGCCTCGGTGAAAACAAATGCAGTGTAGTCAGCAAATGTGGAAACATGGTCCTAATTAATTTGCTAGGGCTTGTTCCCTGTTGGGAGGGTCCGATTAAGCTCGGTCTTGCTGCCTCTTTGCCCTTTTTGGGGTATAGGTTTCTGTGCTTTGCAGATCTGAATCTCGAAAAATGATTAACTCTGGAAATTCCCAAACAGAAATATTTTCATTTACTGACCGAACAACATCATAGGAAATTTCAATAACACGTCCAGACCTGGTGATAGAAGACTCATAAAAAGGCTCAACGATGTCTGTGACTTAGATCCAGCTGAATAAGGAATGAATGAATAAGTAAATGCTAGCTAATTGGAAGATAGTATTTCACTCAAATGTTCTGTAGCTTCAGAATCCCACGAGAAGTAACTGGTTGTTTAAAACCTATATTTGAGGGGTGCCTGGCTGGCTCAGTCGGTTTAGGTCATGAACTCACAGCTTGTGAGTTACAGCCCCACGTCAGGCTCTCCTCTCTCAGCGCAGAGCCCGCTTTGGATCTTCTGTCTCCTTCTCTCTCTGCCCCTCTCCCCCCCGACATGTTCTCTCTCTCTCTCGGTCAGAAATAAGTAAACAAAAAAATAAAAATGAAGCATGTATTTTATTTTGAAGACATGGAGTGGTTCTGAATTTACTGGCTGGAGCAGACAGACTTAGAAAGGCAGTCACGAAGCCCACGCCCCGTCTAGGTTAGGGGGCACCGGGCTGGCTCAGTATGAAGAGCGTGCGACTCTTGATCTCGGGGTCGTGAGTTCAAGCCCCACGTTGGGTGTAGAGATTGCTTAAATAAATAAACTTTAAAAAACAAAAGAAATAAAAATAAATTGCATCTAGCTTAAATCTAGGGTCAACGTAGAAGATGAGGTATGTTTTTTGTTTAAAATATTTTTTAATGTTTATTTATTTTTGAGAGAGAGA